TTGTTGTTGTTAGGTGCCATCAAATTGGTTCCGGCTCACAGTGACCCTCTGTGCAAACAGAAGAACACTGCCCTGGCCTGCACCTACTCACAATTGTTCTTAAGTTTGAGCCCATTGTTGCAGTCTGTGTCATCTCCACCCCCAGGAGGGTGAGTGTGCGCGGGCCGCGGGCGCTGTCTGCGGGCGGCCGGGATCGGGGCTGGAGCGCGGCCGTGGCCCAGGGGGCGGCCTCGCCGGAGACGGTTTCTCCTCGCGGACGCCGAGGTCGGGACGGCCAGGCCGGAGTCGCGGGGAGAGAGGCTTCTCCCACCCGCTGGACCCGCCCGGGAGCGCGGCCCGGCTTGAGTCGCCGGGGCTCTGGTCTCCGCGAGCTACGGTTGCCGGGCTCCGGTGAGCGCCTGGGATGGGGCCGGGGGCGGTGGGCGAGGCCGAGGCGCCCGGTGGGCCCAGGCCGGAGCCGGGGGCGCTCCAGCTGGACCACCGCCCAGATCCTGGGCTGAGGCCCGGCGCAGGGCTGACCTCAGCCACCGCGGGGAGCGGCCGGGCGCGTGTGTCGCCGGCGGTGGGGAGCACCGGCATTTCGGGGTGGTCATTCCCTAGGCGCTGGGGAGAAGCCCCCCTCCCCGCCCCCAGCCCCCCCATCTCCCCAATTGTGGGATGGTGGTTGAGGGGAGTGGACGGATTGGCCCGTGGGTGTGGTGTGGCGAAGACTGGTTAGGGCGACAGTTTGGAAGAGGCGATCTGAAGGAGCACACGGTGCTTGCTGAAAGACATTTTAAAGACACAAGGGAGCAGCCTCCCTTTTCCAAGCAGAGAAGATGATGCCGAGAGTACTCCGCGTAAACAGGCTATGTTCTTTCTGCGCCTCCACGCTGATGGAGGGAGGTGAATGGCTGGCCGGAGACGGGCTTCCTCTGTGTATTTCACACAGGAACGCAAGCATGTAGGTGACGGCCTCGTCAGCACCAAACCATTTTTTTTGGTGGTGGGGGGGAGGGGATTGATCTGTAAGGAAGATTTGTGTCTGCGCTCATCACCTGATAGGGCGGTCTAGGTCAGCTTCCTCCAGGCAGCTTAGAAGCGGAGAACTGCTGCTCTCAGAACACTTTGCTGTGCAATTTCTTAGCTTGGCTCAGGCTGGACAAGGGAGCTATGACTCTTTTTCCCTCTTAGCGTAGCAGATCTCAAAATAATTGTGACCCTAACAATGTTGTTTTTAGGCGCCGTGGATTTCCCTTCCGATTCATAGCGACCCCTTAAAAGAATAAAACACAGCTGGGTACTGAGCAGTCCTCACGCGTGTTCTATTTGAGCCTATTGTTCAGTCTCGGTGTCAGTCATTCTAGATTGGGAGGTGAGGTGAGAGGGAAAAAATGCATGACCTTTGCAAATAGGAAACAAGTGTTGATAAGGTACCTCATTCTTAACACCAGTGTGTTAGCTGTCATGTTACATGATGATTCATATTTTCTTTTCTGTGCTTCTGTTCAATAGTTCACAGCAAAGCTGAGGGTTTGGGTCAAAGCATGGAATACAGACAAAACCCCAAGACGCAGCCTGTGCTTTAAGCTCATCCAAACATCTACAGGTATGGTCATCTTATTGTTTATGTTTCTACTTTGTTATTGTAAAATGATCTTAATTGGTCAAAAATCCACATAGGTATCTCCCAAGATTTATGTATTATTTACTTAGCTTTTATTATACTGCCTAGTGTATTTCGCCAGCCACCTCCGGATGCCGCCAAGCATGTTTGAGGTCTGTTAAAGTACCTCGCACACAAACACGTCCACCGTTGCTGTGCCTATTTGACGGCAGACTCTTTCACAAACAGTTTTTTTAATGTGTGTGTGAACAGTGGTAAAAACATTACAGAGACCGCGAGGTGATATTCACAACCCAGTTAATGTTCATCAGCCCTGTCGGTAGATGAATAGCTCCTTTAGCAGCTATTTCAGATAGGCACCGTGTTCCTAGCACCAAAACCCCCAAATGAAACCCCTTGTTGTTAAGTCCGTTCTGACTCATGGTCACCCTGTGTGTTGCAGAATAGGACATAGGGTTTTCTTAACTGTAATGTTTTCAGAAGTAAACTGCCAGGCCTTTTTCTACTGTGCTGCTAGTTCAGAACATCAGCCCTTAGCTTGGTACTTTTAGTCAAGGGCGAATCAGACCTTCCTTAAGAGCGGTAGGGCTTCTTTTCCAGAGCATAACCCTTTGGGGTCCTAAGGAAGCCTAAAGAGAAGAGGCTGCAGGAAGTTTTACTTGCATCTTAAGACATACTGTGTCATAAAACAATAACACGCAATGCCAAGCCAGCTGCCTATTTTTCAAATAAAGTTTTATTGGAGCACAGTCATGCCCATCTCTAGTATTGAGATAGACCGTGTGGCCAAGAAAGACGGAACTATTTATTAGCTGACCTTATGAAAAGAAAAGCTTGCCAATCACAAGCTAAAACAGAGATTTCTGCTAAAATTCCGAGTGAGATTGAAGAAACACTATTGTTGTTGTTGTTGTTGTTGTTGTTAGGTGCCATCAAATTGGTTCCGGCTCACAGTGACCCTCTGTGCAAACAGAAGAACACTGCCCTGGCCTGCACCTACTCACAATTGTTCTTAAGTTTGAGCCCATTGTTGCAGTCTGTGCCAATCCATCTCATCGGAGGCCTTACACTTTTTTGCTGCCCCTCCACTTCCCCAAGCCTGTTGTCCTTATCCAGGGACTGGTCTCTCCTGACAGTCTTAAATGCTCGAGATGAAGTCTTGCCACCTTGCTTCTGAGGAGCATTCTGGTTGTTCTTCCAAGCCAGGTCTGTTCTTTAGCAGTCCATGGTACTCAGTATTCTTCACAAACATCGTAATTCAAATGCATGGATTCTTCTTCAGTCTTCTTTATTCAATGTCTAACTTTAGCGTTCTTATTAGGGGATTGAAAATACCATGGCTTGGGTCAGGTATACCTTAGTCCTCAAAATAACAATGTGTCATTTGATCTCTTGACTGCTTCTTCCATGAGCATTGATTGTGGATCCAAGCAAGATGAAATCCTTGAAACACTGGTCCCGTTAAAACACTTCACAAGGTTGTCATCACCTGCCCCTTTGCCATGACAGTGAGGACTCAAATCCCCTTCTGTGTCTGTCCAAAGCTTTATTTGACGACTGTTTGGACAGCAAACTGATTTTAAGGCTAAAGTTACTTATCTCCTTAGAGAGAAGAATTGTCGGGGACTCATCCCTTAGAATTAAATCATTCCTGATGCAAATTTTAGAATGTATATCTGTATTTGTCATCTTCAAACCCTGAGAGTGCAGACTCAGCTTCCTCTATGCACTCCAGTCATTCATTTGCGCTGAGAGGTCTTCTCCCATCGTCACTGTGGGCTGTCATTGTGAAGTTCAGCCTGGTACTTGGAACTGTGAAACCTCTTGTGCTGCATTGACTATCAGCTGCTGGAGGGAAGGGCTCACTGGCCTTCCTAACCCCTGCCCCCAGGCTCTTAACACAGGCTTACCGTATCCAATGAGTGAATGAACGACCCTTGCACAACTAAGGGAGGTGTAAGCTTATAGATAGTGAGGATGATAGAGATATCTAATATTCCTAATCTGGTGGTGTAGTGGTTGAAACCACCAGCTGCTCTGAGGGAGGAAGACAAGGTTTTCTACTGCCATAAAGAGTTACAGTCTCAGAAACTCATGGGGGCACTTCTGCCTTCTTTTGATCACTGTGATTCAGAATTGACTTGACGGCAGTGAGAAAGAAGAAAAACTAAAAGGGTAACAATGGAAAGAAATGGTAGCGAGCGTAACTTCCCCGTCTTCTCTAAACAGCAGTTCTCAACCTGTGAGTCGCGGTTCCTTTGGCGGTCGAATGACCCTTTCACAGGGGTCGCTCGATTCATAACAGGTAGCAAAATGACAGTGATGAAGTAGCAACAAAAATAACGTTATGGTTGGGGGTCACCACCACATGAGGAACTGTATGAAAGGGTCGCGGCATTAGGAAGGTTGAGAATCACTGCTCTAACAAGTGATGCTGCCATAATGAAGCAGACAGAAAGCTCAGCTTTCTGGTCAACCTTGCTGCTCTGCCTGACTTGTGTGATCTTTGCTCAGCCCTAGCTTTTCCAGCGTCCCCAGATCTGGGCAAGCTGGTCTGCTTCCCACAGGCTGCTCTCTCCCAAGATGCTCTAGACTGCCCACCCAGAGTGCAGGGTTGTGCCTCCTTTGCACCACTCTGCTCCCTGCCACATTCTCAGGAGGCTGTGGGAGTGAGTCTGAGCCTGCATCTCCTATGGGCACTGTGTACTGGTGGAAGGTGCACAGCATTTGGCATAACAGACCTGAGGTTACATTTTAGGTCTCTCTGTACTCTGGCTGAAAATTTTAGCAAGTCTTTGAGAAACTATGGCAGTGCCCATGTTATGATATTGTAGAATGTTGAATCATGGTGCTGGAGCTGGGTGCCTTTGGCTTGAGACTTGTAGCGGAGTGGCATGTCCCTTGAGCATTTGTTATAACTCTCAATCAGGGCAAAGACCTGGCCAAGTGGCTGAGGGCTGGAGAGAGGCCTATCTGTGGGCATGGCCGAGAAGAAATTCTCCTGACCAAACAACTGTATCCTGAGCATTTCTCAACTAAATTGTAACCTGCTAACTTCCCTACAAAACCCCCATCTTGAGCATTGTCTGTGAGTTCTGTGTGGCCATTTCAGTGAATCCCCAAACCCGACCACAGAAGGAGAGTGCCAAGGGAGGAAACTGGCTTGGGTCAATGCCAACGTGCGGTTGGATTTACTTCCCCCTTGCCCAGCTGGACAGTGTCAGAGAGCAACCAAGGCATTTTCTTTTTTTCCTCAGATGTGCTTTGTAAGTTGTCTAAGAAGTGCCATGGGCTTAAGCACAAATCTCTACATTCATCTATGAAGGAACCTGCAAAACTTGTGAAGTTCCATTATCTCTTTATTCTGTATTTCTCATGACTTTTTAAAGTGTGTGTGTGTGTGTGTGTGTGTGTGTGTGACAATCCCTGCTTAGAACTCAAGTGTATTGCAAAGTATTAAGTGGTTTTTTGTTGGGTTCAAGTGCAGGTAAGAGAGAAGCGAAAGGAAAATGACAGCTGAGTGTTCTTTCTCAAGGAGTCCCAGTGGTGGGCTGGTTACGTGTTGTGCTGTGATCAAATCCACCAGCAGGAACCCACTGGTCTTTCTACGCCCCTAAATAGTTACAGTCACAGAAACCCCCAGGGGGTTGCTATGAGTCAGCATTGATTCTTGGTAGTGAAAGCATTTTCTCAAGCCCTGATTCCTTTTTTTTTTTTTTTTTTGCTCATTGTTCTCAACCCAAAATCTGTGTATCTGGAAAAAAAAAGTGATTTTTTTTTTTTTCCTCCTGAAACTACTTTGTTTGCAGGCAAGCTCTTGGGACTGGAATCCAGCCCTTCTGTTTGCCCGGTTATTTCCTTATGAAGTCCCCGGCCTTCCTCATATTGAACTGTTATCTGTAGTCAGCTGAAACAGATGGCCTTTGCAAATTAGGCTGCTATTAAAATGGCCCCCTCTCCTGTTTTAAGGAGCCTTAGTAGGTTAAATGTTGGATTTTTAACTGAAGGGTCAACAGGTTCAATCCCACCAGCTGCTCCAATGGAAAATGAGGCTGTCTGCTCCCAGCAAAATGTGTGGTCCCCCAAACCTGACGGAGCTAGGAATCAGAATGACAGGGTAGTTTTTCCTGATCCTGCTTTCTGGAGCCCTGGTGGCACAAATGGTGAAGCAGTCAGTTGCTACCCAAAGGACTGGTGCTTTAAATCCACCTAGTTGCTCTACAGAATAAAGATCTCTCGATTACGTAGCTCCCGTAAGGATTAAACCAAACTCGCTGCCCTGGAGTCCGTACTGACTCATAGGTCTGACCCTCTGTGGGTTTCCGAGACCGTAAGGGAGCAGAAAGCCAAGTCTTTCTACTGAGGAGCTGCTGGTGGTTTCAAACAGACCGGCTCAGAACCACTATGCCACCAGGGCCCCTTCTGTAAAGATTACAGGCTTGGAGCCTCCTTTGGGCAGTTCTGTGCTGTCACACGGAGTCGTCATCAGGAGTCAGAATTGACCGGACGGCCCCCTACAGCAGCAAGAACAACAGTTCTGCTTTCTTGTGGTGGGTTTTCTGACGTCTGATAGATGAGGGGCCTTTGAAAAGTTCCTGGAACTGTCCCACTATTTTTCAGTTCCTTTCCATGAACGTTGTAAGTCCCATCATGAGAAGGTAAATGCATTCTGTCAGGTTTTATCTTGCTTTAGCCATATTCCAACTTGTTGGAAATGTTTTGAATCGTAATTATGTTTTCTAATGAATTTGCTGTTTTCCTTCCCTGCAAAATTGAATAAGTTTATCTTTAATGAGACCTATTAAACAGGAAAAGACTGAAATATGCCTGTGATTCAGCCTGAGGTTTTTCTTCCAAGTTGATAAGGATGCTCTGATCAGCCTTCCCAACCTCAACAGGAGGGCTGGCCACGGGTGCTTTGTGAGGTGTGTGTGGAACAAAACAGCACATGATCAGTGTTAGGTTAGCAGAAAAAAATGAGC